ACGCTCGATCATCAGGAGCCAGAAGAAGCTACAGAGAGGGGAAACCCCTCACGACACAGCCCTCCCACCAGATCTCCATCACCCTGGTCTGCCTTCTGCTCATCACAAACTCTCGGTTCATCTCCCAGCCACCAGACTTCCCTGCCCAGTTCAGCTAGCTTGACTCTCACCTCCCTCTCCTCCCCACTGCTAGAGCCTTCCCACTGCAGCATGTGGAGCTGCCCATGGTCATCTGTTCAATCCCCTGCGTTCTCAGCCTCTGGCTTGGTTGCTTCTGTCAGCTTCTTATCCCACCTACACTCTGGCTCTCACCCTACGAAGCTATGCTTCCTGCAGCCTTTTTACATCACTATTCATTTGCCTCTTTCATATCTTGATCTACTTGTTAGAGTGGCAGATGGACGTTGCCTCTTCACCTTCAAGGCTTCGAGAGCATTCTCTCTGTTGTTTGCATGTCCCCAATTTTGAGGCTCACGTTCCAGAACACAGGCTACCCTTCCTGCCTCCAATCACTACAGTCCCCAGGGCCACTCCCCTTCATTTATTAAATATTTTAGTCAATGGCTCATAAGTGCTCGCTCTAACAGGATTCACACTACAGCTCTTGGGGACCTCGTTATCCCTATAGATGGCCTTTCTACGCCTTCCAGTTCCTTGGTCTCCAGTGGTGCTCTCTACCCCACACTGATGGTATCTATGCAGCTAGCTACTCGCCTGGTTCTGCCCTAGCCATTGTCCTTCCAGAAAATCGGCATCTCCTCCACAAGCTCAATGTCATGCAGCCTGTTCTGCAGTTGCCACCTCTTGTTTTTCTACTTCATTCTGCAGCATTCCAACACCAACTACCCTGTGTTTCCAACAGAGCTGACTGTCCATTCCTATTACCCCACTCACATGCCCCAGACCTCAAAGTCACCCTTGAGTCTCCCGTGCTCTTAACACCCATTCAGCCTTCTCGTAGAAATTGCGAATGATCTGACACTTGTTTCCACCTCCACGATTACCACCTAGCCCTCATCAAGTCCTCTCTGCCTAGGTGACTGTGCAAACCCCTTAATGCTTTCCAGACACCAACTCTTGCCCCAAAATCAGTTCCCAACCCAGCCGTCAGAGAGCCTTTTTTAACATGTTAAATTACATCAGTGGATTCTTGATCACAGTGAAAACCGGACGTGGTTTGCTTGTTTTAGTTTGGTTTGGTTTTTAATTAGTAGACTTTGCTTCTTAGAGCAGAGCACCCAGGTTTTCACAATGACTACAAGGCCCTATGGGATCACTCCAGCACCTTGCGGCCAACTTTTCACTTTCACTTTCTGCCTTTCAGAACTTGGCTCACACCTGGCCTCAGCCTGCTTCTTCCCAGATATTCCTTGAAGACTCCAAACATGCTCCTGCCTTGGGGTCTTTGCTTGCTCCCCTGTCTGCAGCGGTCAGTCACAATTCTCCATCTCTCTATTCAGGTCTCTGCTCCAATGCTATGCTTATGAAAGAGTCTTCCCTCTTAGTTTATTGATTTTATTTTTGACCTATATTTAAAATGTATGAAAAGGCAAAAAGTACTATTTGATTCTTCTGTGATACTTTCTTCATACTTACTTTTAGAAAATGTTGCCAAATGATTTATCCTCCATATCTTTCTTTCTTAAAGTAGTGCTTCTTTTATATGCTAAATATATTTGAATCTTTTTCTGGACTTTCTATTTCATTTTCAGTTTTTATTTTATTTTGTTGATATGACTAGGATGGCACATCCATTTATATGTCTGTAGACATGTCCTCTTATTCCATTTCCAAACAAGTTTTACTATTCTCATTTTCTTTCTTGCAAGTGAAATGTATATATTAATTTGTTGAAATACAAAAGCCCTTCAGATTCTTCACTGGGATTATATTAAATATGTAAGTTATCTTGGAAGCTTTGGTATCTTCTTCCTATTGCTTGTCTTCCCATTCATGAAATTATCTACCTCTTTATTTGATCAAGTTTTTTGTTCTTCATTAAATTTTTTATCTTGGGAAAAGCTTCGAGTACAGCTTGGTGGTCAAGTGTTTTCTTAGTATGCATGAGGCATTGGGTTAGGGCCTCAACACTGCAAAAAATATTGTTTTATGTGAAGCCTACATTCATGTGTAATAAATTATTTTCTTGTTGGGTTTATCCCTAGGATTTTAGATGGTTTTTCTATTTTTACTATAATTATTTTTTTAATTTATTGTTAATCGGTTATTACTGATATATGAGAAGTATTTTTTTCTACTGCTATAACAATAATAGTTACATTTTACAGAGTGGAACAAAGGAAAATTATGTAAATGAGTGATTAGGAGACAAGATCCTGGGTCAGACTGGCTGAATTCAAACCTAGTTCTAGTTCCAGCTGTGTGATTTCAGGCAGTTCACTTGAAATTTTCTGTACCTCAGTTTCTTCATTTGCATAATGGGATGAAAATAGTATTTTCTTCATAGGATACATGTGTGAAAAAGAAAACTTTAGACCCATCAAATTTAGTAGAATTTATCTGAGCAAAGAACTCTTCAGGAATCAGCCAGCATCTGAAGAAAGGTTCCACCCAGCAAATGGGTAAGTCATTTCTATGCATAGAATAAAGGATGTGGTGCCCAGAAACAGCTTGTTGGATACAGCTGAGCATTCTTTTTTATATGGGCAAGGTCTGAGTGGTCAGCAGCCTCTCATTAGCTGCATTTACCTGCTGTGATTGGCTGAGACTCAGCTATTGGCTACAAGAATATATTCTTAAATTAAGTTGTAGTTTGCTACATTTGGAAGCAGCATCAAGCCCAATTTAATTTCACACATGTAAAATGATTCTATTATCACTCAGGTTTCCTTAGATAACCATAATTTACAAATAATACTTTTCATCCTTTTTGATATTTTATATTCTCTATATGTCTTATAATAAAAATTTCTAGGAACATGTTTACCAATAATAATAATAATACATGACTTTATCATTTATTGATTTCAGTGAGAACATCTTTATGATCTCATTGTTAATTATGTCAAGTATTTACTAATTAATAGGTTTTACTCAGAATTAATGTTGACTTAACAAATGCCTTTTTACACTTGATCTTAGCCAAAAGGCCAAGAAGCAATCCCAGATGTCTTTTTAGTATATGTTAAAATTACCATTTTTTTTCAAACTCTTGTGTGATAAATGTATTTATTTTCTCATATTGAGCCATCCTTGCATTCCAGGAATAAAATGTCCTTGTTATGTCATACCATCATGTGCTACATAATGCCCTTCAGTGGATGAAGGACTGGGTTAATAACCCTATAGTGGAGAGAAAAAGTTCCTATAACTTACCGATATCATGGCCATGACTATGTCCCAGCATAATCCATCCATCACTCCTGTGTTTGTGGTGATGTGGGTGGGAACAAACTTAATGCACTTCCAGTCATCTAAAAATCCATCATATGAATTACATACATTACATAATACTTGGTATATTAGTAAATAATTATGGTACTGGTTTTTGTATTTACCACACTATACTTTTATCATTAATCTTCAGTGCACTCCTGCTTACATAAAACAAAGTCTACTGTAAGACAGTGTGCCAACCTCATACATCTAACATTTACAACATCTCTTGATTGTAAATGATGGACCTGATCTAGATTTATGCAAGCTCACTCTATGACATTCACACAACAATAAAATTGCCTAAAAATGAATTTGTTGGGAGGTATTCCTATCCTTAAATGCACAGCTGTGTCCTTCTAATATGTTGCTTCATTTGATCTATTAAAGCATTTTTTAAACTCTTCTCTCTGGGCTTATCAATTAGATTGGTGGGTAGTTGCTGATCCTTTTGTTGCAGGATCATCAGGCTTATTAACAAAATGACACAGATTTGTAAGTGGCCTTGAAAAGTTTACATATTTTGCTGTGTTCTGCAATGATGTATTTAGTGTGGGCATTACTTTTTTGTTGACTGTTTGAAGATACCTGCGGTAAACCATGCTCCTATCCAAGCTTCTAGACTTCCTGAATCCAGACTGACAACTTGTGTAATACCTTCCACTGATGCTGATTAACTAGGATATCTACTTCTTATAGAGGTCATTTATATTTTCCTAGAAAATTAAACTATATGCTGACTATAAGAAATACATTAACTCATGAAAATTGAAAGACTGGCCCAGTTCACTAGATAAACAGAAAGCAAAAAGGAAATAAATATCACAAAGTCACTCTCAGTCAAATTGAAATTCAAAGCTGGAAGAACTCATGGGTCACAGAATGGCATTTTGTCAACAAAAGATATAATCTTCAGGAGTTATAAAGATAACAAGCATAAATGTTAAGTCCTACAAATGTAGTCATGTCATGTATAAGACAAAACTTGTTCAAAGTGTAAAAATTAATTGGCATGAAGAAAACACCAAACTTATTTCTTAACAGGCTGATGGGACAAAGTATAAATGAGCATGAGGAGACAGAGTGCCCATCCTGTGTCCTCAGCAAGTGATTTTCTGGCCAGCTCAGAGTCACTGGTCTGCTTCCTTCTCCCTGTTTCTCCCACCGCTGACCCAATGGACTGCAATTATCAGGATGCACTGCTTTCGGACAGCTTCCACCTGGCCCTGTCCCAAGTCCTTTCCACCGATCACCAATCCCCTTCTCCTCAAAGCACTTTCCACCATCTATCTGGGAATTGTAACCTTCTAACATTAGAGGGAAAGATAAGAAGGTAGAGGGTTGGACGGGAGGTATTCAAGCTTCCTCAAAAAGCAAAACCCACTCATGGAAGGCCAGGAACCCAGTTTTCTGACTGGTGTGGGCTTTAGGTGTCTGAGACAAAGGCCAAGAGGTAGGAAAAAAATAAAACAAAACAAGCCATCTTACTCTCATTTTAGGAAGTCACCTGTCTCCTCTGCTTCAGGAAATGAGCCTCTCTCTCTCTCTGTCTACACACACACACACACACACACACACACACACACACTTCAATTCCATCCCCTTTATTTTTGATGAAAATTCTTCCTTATCAAGATAGTGACTGAGGCCTGTAAGGAGTTCTCCGCCTGGTGAAGCTGACGAGGCCAAGGGTAGCCGGATCAGACATCAAAGGCATGGAGGACCCTCCCTCTATCTCCACATATTCCATACCCCTTCTGAACACTTGCTGCTAATGCTGCTGGGGCTGCTGCTACTGGTGAGACCTAGCCAGCTGCTGAAGAGGATTCTTCCTAGGTAAAAACACAAACAATGATATTTCTGGGGAACAGAAAGAAGAAAGCATACTTGTTCAGTAAAAAATGAGTTGGTTTCATGCTACAGCCACTGCTTCCAAGGGGGCTGTCCAAGTCTAGGAAAGGGGCACTTCCAACCCAGGGGAAATTCTTTCTCCCTGTTCTTGATTATGGTAAGTCCATGTGGTATAGAAATGCCTAGTTCCATACCAGCCTCTCTTAGGAGCTGGCTTTCTGGGGCCCTTAATTAAAAGTACTAAGACACAATACAAAGATGAAAGACTTAGCAGATACATGGGCTGCACCCAGCACTGCAGGTGGTCTGTCTAGTACTTGTGAAGGCCTAGGAGTTCTTGTCTTGTCTTAGCTGACATGGAGGTCTGGCTGAAATGCCTGCTTGGGAATTTGGGGGACAGTATCATAAGCTAGAAAGTTGAGCTCCTGGAGAGTGGACCCACATGTCCTTGAACTATATCTAATTTTGGATGTCTGTGAGCATTCCCAGGCCTGGCCAAAATTCCAAGACCCCGACCCCAACATGCCAAGGTAAACATGCTGATAGACAGATGGGCTCTCTGGGGTCCCCCACTGCTCCCAGGGTTCACTGTGTGTGTATTTCTTTCTCCAAGTCTGCTAGTGTCAAGCTTCCTTACTCAGAGCTCCTGTACCTTAGATCACACCAGTGTTCCTGGAACTAAACCCTAAGAGGTCTTTCGGAAGAGTGGTGTCCTATATAAATACACAATGCAATACGTGGTGTCATTGAAAAATACAGTGAATGTTTAAATTTTAAAATGTTATGGTAAAAGAAACATTGCCATCAATCCCCTCAAAATATCCCCCCCTCACTTCAAACACACTTATCCCACTGTTCTTGCCACTTTCTGAAGCAGTTCTGGAAGTCTCCTTTCCTGAGTGTCTTTAGTTTAAATGTCTTAGCTGTCCTGAATCAATTCATTTTGACTTTGGGGAAGAACCAGAAGTGACTTGGGGCCAGATCCAGTGAATAAGGTGGATGAGGACGCACTGTGTTTTTAGGAGCTGCTTTTCCACTGGATGGCACTCAGCAGCAGCATTTACCATATTTATGATCAAATGTCATAAAAATACTCAGGAAAGAGAACTACCAGAACTGCTTCAGAAAGTGGCAACAACAGTAGGATAAATGTGTTTGAAGGGAGTCTTTTACTGCAACAATTTCAGCATTCTCAGCCCTTGTATCTCTACATATGAGCTCATAGACATGACTGGGAACCCCTCTCCTTTTCAAAGTCTGCCTGAGGCACAGAACCCACCACACTTGTATTCCTGGCCACTTCTACCCCAGTCCCCAGATGCTAATGAGTCACACTGACAGTAGAGACCTGTATTCCAAGGGCTCTGATCTTCAGTGCTCCCACACAGGACTGTAGCCGTGAAGGGCATGTCTCGCAAACATCCCCCTTTGTTCCACCACCCCTTCAGCCACTGATAGCCCCCTTTAAACCCTCAGACCCCATGGAAGTGGTGGTGACAATCCCCTTCTAAAGCCCTTCTCATCCTGTCATTTGAATACAGACCTGCTCCTGGCTCCCCAAAGCCCCTCATAAATCAGCTCAGGTGGTCCTATTGCAGACATTCCAGCCTGGGGACAATGCTGACACAGATGCCATGCTTGCTCTCCATTGAGCTGTTCCTCTTGGCCACCTGCATCTTTATCCTCCTTCAGAAAAAAAAAAAAAAAAAAAAGAAAA